TATTACTGAACAACCCCTCGCCGTTTCATTTTTGCCCAGTCTAGCGCACGGTTCTTGCTTTGTTTAACGCCCAATATCACCCGGTATTGCTGGCATGTTTTACGCACATTTAAAACAGGAATTGCTAGTTGAGTCACCGGATTTTGTGATAGCCTCCGTAAGGTCATTATCTGTTCCTTCGTCCAAAGGTAAAACGCCGTGTGTTCGTTTCTGGCCATTTTGCATATTCTATGTCATATGATTCGTCTTCTGCTGAATTCAGATGTTTAAACGAAAAGCTGAAATTTGCACAAGCTTTTAGCTAAAAAAATTAGCTAAGAGCTTGTGAAAATTTGAACTGGTGGTTTTAATCACCAAATTCAGCATGAGTAGACGAATCAAACGACATAAAAACGCAAAGCGGCCAAAAATTACCATATGGGGTTTTACCTTTGAACGGCAGTGTTACCAGTACGCCTACGTCCGTTTACAGCATGCCCCTGAATATTCAGTTTCAGGTCCTTTCATATTGAGGACCTCATCAGGTGTTAGTTGGCGTGTGCTGCAATTAGGCGTGCTGTTAGGAATTGCATTATCAGCTGGGCGATAATTGGGCGGTTTTTTCTCAAATACAATGTGAAAGGGCCTTACGCACGCTCTCAGATGCTTTCTCAGAAACTGAGCCTGCCAGAGCCAGGCATTAGAGGACGGGATGGATAGTTTGCGTTGGGGTTATTGGATTAGTGTCTCTGTGAAAGTGGTTATCGTGGTTTGCTTCAAGGTCTAAGTGTGTTGTTTTAATCTAAATCGACGTTTGAGCTTTTCACACTAATGCTTGAGTGTGACATTCGTTAAGTTCTCCGCAGTTGTGTTCACACACGAACAAAATCAGACGTTTGCAAATCAAGGATAAATCACTTCACAACCCCCTTTCGGTTGCTGATGTGTTCAACACTGAAACTTCAGACAGGCATGTCACGTCAAGTTGGTAGGGTGCCTTGTATACACATAACGCCTCTACCTCGGCTAATTTTCCACTTAGCTGCCAAACACACCCAGTAACCTTAACTTAGGCTTCGCCTTCCACACAGCGTTAACGTTCGTTTAAGGTTTGTTCATGTTCGGTGGCAGGCGCCCACGTGACCGGTTGAATGCAATGCGCTCGGGTGGAGGTGGGGTCAATTTGACCATCGCTCAAAATCAAGTCTAGAATTGGGCTAAAAATCGAGAAAGGGTTACACGTGCCGATGAGTTTTGCATTGAAAAAAGAATGTTGATTAGCGCAGCGAACAATTTAAAGCTCTAATAAGGGTGCTTAAACATATCGCTGTTTGCTGTTTGAAAAACAGGATTGTACAAACACATGACATAGTGCAAACCCAAAGGAAGTTTCATCATGAGTGGTGATGATGTGCCTCAACGACACGTCTTCAAGAACATGCTCAATTTTTAATGCAGCACCAGATTCCGATCCTTTTGTTCATCATACTGATAACTACGAAGAAAGCAACGAAGTTGTACAAAGTACGAAGTTGTTACCTCAGTAACAACTTGAGGTAGCGAGCGACGGGAGCGGGGAGATGAGCTCACTAGTAAAATATATTGCCGCGTCACTCCAAAAAGCATGACACAAGCTCTTGTGGAACTACTCTTTGTGAACCAGGGTGTTACAAATACGAGATAATAGTAACAACAGGTGCTGCCTGGCATGCGCTTCATATTTCACTGACTTCGAGGGCTGATATATGTCAAATTGTCCAGGAATATTTCTTCTTCTTGGTCCTTGAGCCTTGAATCTTCTTGTCTTGGAGTTGGAGAAGATAAACCTCTGGAATGAAGGCATGAGCTTTGTGAAAATGATCTTCAAACTTTTGGGGGGATTGTAAGCATGACCGGCCATTCGAAAATTAGCTGAAATATATTTTATTTTCACCCGTTGTGCTATCGAGTTATCATGTAATTTGATAGCACGGTGTTGCGCGATAGTGCTGTCAGGAGCTACCAATATCTCACCTACCGTATTTTTCAGCTCCCGATATTGAAAGTGGCGTCAAGGTGTGAGAGGCGGTAACGTGCTGACTTAGATAATAATGGTGGCATCCTGAATGAGGTTTTGGTATGCCCATGCTGAGATAGTGAGGACCCGTGACCGTAGATTGCACACAGCAATCTGGCCAGGGATTGGTCGGGAATGGTCAGGAATTTGCATCGACACGACTAATACATGGCCGTCTGGGAATGTTCAAGTCTCGACAATCTTCACTGATAATCGAGTGGTGACCAAATTAGATAGCATGGGTTTGAACATGCGCCCTTGCAAACTCTAGAAATAAAACCCCAAGACTTGGCATTGCGGTTTCCTTTGGCTACGCGGCGCCGGTCCTGTGGCTAACATAAGGCGGCGGCGAAAGTGAGGACGAAAACAGCGACTTGCCTGACGGATACACATTTGAATGTTGTATGACATAAGCCGTGCGTTTAAAGGTTAGTGCGGACCGTATATTTCACTTATGCGATTTTCAGATTGATAATAAAAACGTATTAGCACTTACAACAACACAAAGTAGTGCTGAAATCTCATTGTAGATCCGAAAAGTAAAGATAAATGAGTATTTACCGTTTTGATGTAACTGCCAATCCATGCAAAGGGGAACCTCAAAGAATGCTGGCAAAATATACGCTGCAGTTTAATATTCGACGGGAACGAACTTATTTTGATAGATTTTCTGAAGCATTATTTCAAGACGGTCGTTCCGGCACGCACCACGCCAGCTACACAATGCACCGGACAACGCCGCTCGGTTAGACGGACCCTGCTTCACTGGACAACGCGGTTTGGTCAAATGGACACTGTCACCCTGCCGCCCCCCCCCCCCCCCCCCCCCCCCGGTTTTCTAGCTCCAGAGCATAGCGTGTGCGCAGGCTCAAAACTTGTTGACATAATTTGTTTGGCAAGTCGCTTCTGGAGGAGGATGAACGCCTTCAGGCAAGCATGAGTCCGCATTTTTCATTTTTGACCTCATTGGGATCCACACTACTGAACATTAAGAGGACCCCTTACACTTTCAGGCAATGAGGCCCGTGGGTAGAACACTTATCGACACATGACCTGATGGGCCATTCCGTCCAAGCGCGGGGTGCTTACCGCCTGTCATTCTGACGACACGGGGCGGGATCTCCCCGTCAATCCAGAGGCCCTTAGAGGGATGCATCATGCATCGGTCCCCCTCTGACGTGGGAGGCCCTCAGACCCGGGCAATTAGCCTCGGATCAGCACAGGAGCCCTTATAGGCGCAGAAAGCTCCCGTAGCGTCGCAAGCGATCCAGTGATCGCTGCAGGGACTACACTACAGGCTGAGGGGCCCTCGGCTGAAATGGAGTGGAGCCCCCCCCCCCCCCCCCCCATCCCCACCCAGCACAGAACACTTCTATTGTCTCACTTTGGACCATCATCACGAGTTGGACCAGGCCCTTTGGAACTTGAGTGGGCGGAGGACATACCCCTGAGACACACCCCTCCCCCCTCCCTGCATCGCCCCTGACGACCATCAAGAGCATCGTGTGTAATGGATGCTCCGGAAGGCAAATGGGTCGATCGGTCGATTACACAGACGCTTTTTGCTTGGCTGTCTTAATGCGATGCATATTTTAAGCTTGCAGTAATGGACCGGAGACCAATTCAGTCCCTTACGGCGTCGGCCACAAATTCTGATGATGGAGGCCTAATATTGAGCTATTTGATTAAAAAGGCTGACTTCTGTTTGAAAAGAGGCTAAAACCAAATGTACGGTGAAATGTGCAGCGGAGTGCATGCAATGGTGTACAACATGAACAGTGCATTATTCCCATTGTTCTCACACCTGTAAAACCTGAAATATCCTTCCTTCACGTACTTTTTTAATAACGCAGACCAAAATAGCACGGGAGGCAAAGGTTCGATGCGCTGGTTTCTGAGCTTGTGAACCCCCTTTCACGCTAGCGTTGTCGCCACGTACGCTGCGGTCGTTGTGCTTATAGCCACGGTCCCTTGTTTATGGCCGATCGCTTCCTGATCTAAAGCACAGTCTGGGCTGGAGCGCTGCTTTTCTAACATAACTGACATTTAAATCACAAGAGTAGTGAAAAAGCAGTCGGCTTCGAGTTCGGTTCGGATTCGGCAAGTTCGGTTCTCAGTGCGGCTCCAGTTCGGCAAGCTCAGTTCGGTGTTCTCCTAGACCTAAGGATATATCTTTGGATCACAGGCAACCCTTAGCCTTCAGGTACGCCCCATCAATGTTCGGAGCCCCTTTGCGTCTTTATGACCATTTCATACCCTGTCTTGTTTAGCCCGTGCCGGACGCTCCTTTAGGGCGCCGTCATAAAGGGTGCCTTCGGCGCCCAAGGTGGGCCTCTGCGGGGCCTTTACTTTCTTATTGGAAGAGACATTTGCCCGCAATGCCCTCCTCTCCTCCCTGGATTCCCCGTATGACTACCATGCTGCTCAAAGTAAGAATTATTTGATAAAAGATACAACAATTTGGTATTTAGCTTGCATTTCGTATGCATAGCCTTCGTCAAAGTCGCTGGGAACCATTCAAAGTAGGGGTAGAATCGTTCGGCCCGCCACACCGTGCCGATAAATCAGGAGCTCACGGTGCCGAAAAAATGAGGAGCTCGAGGCCTTTCTTGCCCACATTGAGAGCCGGTAAATGTGGTCTCCTGCTACTCAAAATATGTACGTATCTATGGAACTGTTATGGAATGAAGTGTGAAAAGTTCTTCTTACTTCTGACGGTTCGCTTCCGACGGCACATTGTCATGCTTAATTGTAGCGATCTAAGCAGATGGTTTTGTATAAAACCCATGAATAGCTGCCATTGATCGGCCATGCATATTTCTTCGTTGGCGCAAAAATTTGATGCCACTGCCATCAGCACTACCATATCTGGAATGCAGTTTGGAAGCATATTGATCATCGTGTAAACTAACGCACACGGGACAAGTAATATATCAGGATACATAAATGTTCAAATGCAGTGACGTGATGTTTCGTTATATTGAGATATCCGGCTATGTGGTCATATTTGTCATACATAGTTCGTGATTGAAGGCATTTGGATGGAACTTCCATTGCTTTCCCCTTGGACTTGGCTCTCAGCAGTTAAAAAGACCATTATCGGTTCAAGCATGCAGCTCAATACCAATGTTAAGAACTGGTTGTGTATTCCCATTGATATTCCTAGCGGCTGGCTTATAGCCCTGAATAATACAACTGTATTATTGTTATTACTTCTTGGTATTATCCTTTCTGACTTCTTGTGATGGGTCACCTTTTGAAAGCATGAAATATGAAATGATAATGAGCGTGTGTGGCATCCATTATATCATATAGTAATAATCCCCATATTTACAGGTAAAAGAGCTGTAATACATTCTTGCTGTTAGCATTTGAAAGACTCAGCTTAGCAAACAATAGTTCTTCTGGCATGGCACCTTCTTTTGAGGTAAGCAATGCTTTGGTTCTACCATACTCTGACTTGTTTGGGTTCTTTAGCATCAGGAGCGAGGATAATCATTATTATTGCAGGCAAGCATTTTTCTGGAATACTAGATTCATGAATTTACAAGTACACGTACACAAATTAAAGGAACAACAAATAAAGTTGTGAATAGAAATATGCAGCACCCAGAATGGCATGCACATAAAACAAGCCGTGTTATAGTAATAAGGCAGGACCATTAACACCATGCTTTCAGATCTTGAGCATATGTTCATGGAGTTTATCCCACAAAATTCACTTCTGTAAATCCATGCAACCTGTCATGCACATATGAACCTGGTAAGCTTACATTGTAGTGATGTACTGCATTCTGCATGTTTGCATCATCCACTGAGTGTTGTTTGAAATGAAATGAGACTGCACTGTTTTGAAAATGTGTCTTATCTTCCTGTTGGCTGTGTTTGTCTGTTGCAGGGCAGCCAGGGCTCTGCTGGCAGCAGAGACCATGTGATATTTGATGCATCCAAAGGGGAAACATTCCAGATATCTGCTGGCCTTAAAACACTGGCCAGGAAACTGAAGGGAAACTGGAAACCCAGCAGGTGGGTTGTCTTGTAGCATGCAGACTTGTGTTCAGTGATGTAGCAATTCTGGATCATCTTTATATCAGCCTCATTTTGCATCTAGCTTTTTATGGACTTGCTGTGGATGTATCAGGAGGGTTAACACTGGCCATTATAGATAGCACTTCTGTGGACATGTTGAGGCTACCAGGAATCTCGGGACATGTCTAAAGCTTGTATGTTGGGTGACCAGGCTCAATCTTTTGCATTCATTGCTTATCACTTAACAATTTGTGGACTGGTTGGCAAGTGGCAAATGTTCAACACTTCATCATCTTGGAATGCATGCTTAGCACCGCGCTCATCAGCACATGATTTATTGGAACAAAATCAGGTGTGTCACATGCATGAAGCATGCATGAAGTTGCTTTTGGATGGTGACATTCATGAAAATCCATGTCCAGCAAACCCATGTCATTCAAGTCAACTTTTTGGAGCAATTTTGCCCAAGGTTCAGGGGTTTGAACGGACCAATTTCGATCTTGTCTTAATATTTTCAAATCATAAGGATTTACATACATTGTGTGACATATCTTATGTATTTGATTATGATAATACCTGTATAGAGGAAGTGAGGTGTGCATTATGAACCAGGTTGATGCCATCTTCTAACAATTCTCATTGCCATGCAAATATGATATATGTTCTAGATTTACATACTTCCATGTTACATTGCCATGCCCAACATTTGACACAGCCATTGAAGACATGGTGAGTGTTCTCACAGTGTGCCATGTGCGCGGTTTTCAGCAACGGCGATGAGATCACGGCTGAGGTGTTGGCGGAGGCACGTGTGTTCGTAGTGCCCGGACCGGCCGACAAGTTCAGCGTGCATGAGATCGAGGTGAGCTGGGGGCTCGCACCCTCTTCGGCGGGAGTCCGTCAGAGGCTCAGGCACGGGCTCGCGTGACTGCGTGCTTTGCGTAATGGGATCCAAAGATCACCGTGTCTGACGGGAAGCGAGCTATTTCGTGAAACCTGATTGATGCGGTCGCGGAATATTCTTAGTGTGATGTAGTGCAGGCTGGTGATTTGGATCTGTCGTGAGCAATTCAATTTGTGCCAGAGCACCCACAATTTATCCCCCGCCTCAGTGTGCACTGGCGACATCAATAACGTGCCTGCACACAGCACAACTCGTGACGATCTGCTTGGCACCTCTGCCCCACGCCGCCAGTCACCTCCCCGAGCTGCGACCGGCCCCCGAGCTCTGCGCTGACTGCCCGGCCTCTCGGCAGGCGATGAAGCGGTACGTGGCTGACGGCGGCAGCCTGCTGGTACTGCTCGGCGAGGGCGGCGAGAAGCGCAGTCGCACGAACATCAACTATCTGCTGGAGGAGTACGGCATGAGCATCAACAGCGGTGAGAACGCGGCGCTGGGGAGGGCGGCAGCGGCGGCAGCGGCGAGAGCCCCAGGAACATCGATGGCGGTCAGGGCAGGGTTGCGGAGGATGACATGACGGACGTGTTCGCCGGTAGCGGTAAGCGGTGCGTCGAGCAGTAGGGCCTTCTTTTTCGAACGAAATGGGGAAAATTGCACGTGCTTATCAATTGCACCAAATTCGTAAAATATGAGACCCACTACTCATAAAAAAGACAGTAGTACTAGCCTAAATCCTCGGAAAAAAAACAGGAGAATGGAAATATAGTTAGTTGATTCTTCGGCGACATGCCTTTATCGGAACAATAACAGTTATTTCTAGTTGTTTAAGACTTCTACCATTGTTTCGATGAAGGTATGTTGCCGAAATACCAACCTAACTATATCTCCATTCTCCTACTTTTGCCGAGAAATCAGGCTAATACTACTGTCTTACCTACGTGAATAGTGTTCCTTACTAATGCGCTGAACAACTTACGTAATGAGACTTCTGTGGGTGGATTTATGGATTTATTCACGCATGGAAGTATCCACTCCGCTTGCAGGGGACACTTTTGTCGGTTTGTGTACGATACTCACGCTCTAACAGCTGCTGCTACAACATGATACGACTGAACTTACAGCGATATCTTTCCATACATCGCTCGGCATTATTCTTGGTTTAGTGACACGTCTTCAGCCGTTGAATAGAAAAGGCTTGCGAAGCAAAAAAAAGAGACATGCACCCATCCAAATTTGCTTGTCAGCGCGAAACATACGTATGCCTTATTGACTGAGCTGTCTAGCACAAGAAACATGATTATCAACGTGGTCCTTCCACGAACTGATTAGAGCCATGCAACAATCTTCACTTGAATGTGCTCCCCGGTAGGCCGTTGTGCACAGGCTTCTGGCAATCTCGCCGGCGGATATTTTTGCCTCAGCGACTGGCGCTCTTGCCCTGCGCAAGTTGTCGCATTCCTGGAAGATTTGCTGGCATCTGTGCTGGCTTAACGGCTCTGGTACAGGCAATCTCCTTTCGTGATTGAAGCACTTCGTCTGCATTGTGCGCGTGGTAAATGCCCTAGGGGTGAATGAATTTTTGAATGGAGTTGTCTGGATTTAATCTCACCGGCCGCGTGTCAGACACAAAACTGTAATTACGCTTCTGCGTGGGCCTTGTAACCACATGTAAAACTACTTGATTGTCCCTGGCGGCGAGGGTTTTGCCGCCAGAGACAATCTAGACCAACGTCAGTTAAGATAATCAGGAATAATGTAATATTCAACATCAATAATGTAATATTCGGCATAATTCGACAAGAATAATGTAATATTCGACAAGTGGCGTCAGACATCGTGCAGTACATCACGTCATGCCGCCCGTCCTGAGCGTCCCCTCTCTGTGTGCAGTATGGCTTGAAAGTCGCTTTTGCAAAAGAGCTTTGCAACCAGGGTCTGGGATTCCCCTCATGCTGTGTTGGTTTTACCCTTCGTTTGTGGCTCACAATGCTACGCAAAGCCTGCTGCTCTCCACATTGTGTGAAGAGTCCCAATGACGTCACCTTCTCCGGCTTGGTGATTGCTGTTTGTGTCTGTGACGACCGCGATCGGCCGTCTGCCAGTCCCGTGCTGCGCGGCGCCTCCGGCGTCTGCGGCCGCCCACCGCCTGCCGTGTCCACCGGCAGCAGTCTCCGCCGGGCCGGAGTGCCTTGCCGTGTTGCCGCTCTCTCCTGACGCCGACACGCACCCGAGATCCCTCTGACAGCCCCCCCCCCCCGCCGCCCCTCTGACAGCTGTGCGTGCTGCCCCTGTGGGCGGCCCCCCGGCGCTGGCGCACGAGGCGCGCCCGTGTGACGTGGCGGCCACGGGGCTGCCTGGCCGCGGCCAGTGCCGCTGTCTCCCGTTGTGTGGGTCACTGACCACCGCAGGCGTACGCTCGGATGAGATTCCGCGCTGTTGGACATGATTTTGTGCAAGGCTGCGTCTGACTGCTTTCGCCTGATGTTAAATGTTTTGTGCAGGCAGCCGTGTTCATTATTTTGCGTTTCTTTTTGTTCATTGTATTGTGTGGCGCTGCTTTGGTTTCATCGCGCATATTCCCTCATCGTGGGTGGCGTATCGCCTCATCACACGCTGTACCTCCCCCAGATGCTGTGGTGCGGTCCCAGTACTACAAGTACTTCCACCCCAAGGAGTGTTACGTATCGAACGGCATTCTGAACCGTGCTCTGAGCCAGATGGCGGGCAAGAGCATTCCCGGAATGGGGATGGACGAGGATGGCAACAACACACAGTGAGTGCCGCTCCGTCGGAGCACCGGAGCCTCTGCAAACAGCTCGAGATGGCCCGATGGGTTTTGGCTGTTTGCGCCAGCAATGCAGCTGCGCTGATGGAACATACACTAACGCACTTATGGAGCTTCCCAGAATATCTCAAGCTCGGAACGGTACGTGCTTACGGCTCGCATCAAGGTGCGTGGCTTGCATTCCATATTCACGCAACCTTTTTTCGTTCGTGTTCAGCTAATGCGGTAGGCAACCTTCAAGCAAGAATTTGCAAAATCCTTTAAGGTCGCCGGACTTTTATTGCCTACCACGGCCCCGACCGGCCTCCTGCGTGGATGCTTCAACACTATCCGACCTCCCTTTAGTCGATCATTTGTGTGCGCGCCTGCCGTAACAGTCTGTATTCAGCGGCCGTGTCAGCACCACTGTGCAGCGCTGCTGCGCTGGCCGGTGTCGTGAGCCGGCCGCCTGCCGCAGGGCTCTGGTTTACCTGTACCCGTTCGGCGCCTCTATCAACGTGGTGAAGCCGGCTGTGCCCCTGCTCTCCACCGGCAGCGTCGCCTTCCCGGGTAACAGACCGGTACGTGCTTCCCGTCACCGGTGCGTGCTCGTGATGTGCGGATGTGTTCCCGATCTCTGGTACGTGATCCCGATCTTTGGTACGTGCTCCTTATCTGTGATACGTGCTCCCGATCTTCGATACATGCTCCCGATGTCTCTGGTATATGGCCCCGATCTCTGATATGTTGTCCGGATCTCTGGCGCGTGTTCCCGATCTCTGGTGCGTGCTCCCGATCTCTGGTGTGTGCTCGGGATATCTAGTACGTGTTCCCGATCTCTGGTGCGTGCGCCCTTTTTTATTCCTAATTCGGACCTCTGGCGCATGTTTCCGATCTCAGGTACGTGTTCTCGATCTCTGATGTGTTCTCGTGACATCTAGTACGTGTTCCCTATCTCTGATGCGCGCGACCGATCTCAAGCACGTATTTCGGATCTCCTGTACATGTTCCCGATCTCAGCTACGTGCTCCCGATCTTCAGTGCGTTTTCCCGATAGCCGATATGTGCTTCCGATCTCTGGTACGTGCTCCCGATCCCTGGTATGTAGCTCGTGGTGCACGTCCCTGACCGCGGTGCGTGCTCTGTATGTATAACACTCATGCTTGTACTTCCAAACTTTTGGGACTCGTCTCCGTCCTCTTGTTTCGTCCATCTGCAGTCCTTATAGATGATTCTGCATGCTTGATTATCACCTTTTTGTTCCGGAAATAATTTTTCCGGCGTAGCGTAAACATGTCTGATATTTAAGACAACTCCGCCGCGAAAGCCGAGACGGATCCACTGCGTTCCAGATCTGCGGTCTGTACCAGAACGAGGCTGGCGGCAAGATCGTCGCGCTGGGCTCTGTGGCCATGCTGTCCGACCAGTACCTGGACAAGGAGGAGAACAGCAAGATCAAGGATGTGCTGTTCGATATCCTGACCCGACCCGAGGTCATCGCTCTGAACAAGATCGACGCCGGAAACCCGGAGGTGAGGACGATGACACGACTTTTGCGTGAAAAGACAGCGTGGTTTCGGTGGAGCATGGATCAGTGCTCGTGTAGGGGCGTTACATGCTCCCTTGCCAGTGGCTGCATGCTGCTAGAACAGTGGGGGGGCGGTCCAGGCGGAAGCTCGGGATCTGTGAATGGCCTGGTGTTGTGTTGAACCGTGCTGAACCGTGCTCTCAGCGACCTCATGGTCTGGCTCTGCCGCTTTTGGCTTTATTTTAAACGAGCGATGGCGTGTCTCCGGCACACATCACTTGCAGAGTCTGCGCAGTCAGACAATTGCACATATGCCGCAATGGTATGTCCCCGCCACACATCATTTGCGGGGTCGGCGCAGTTAATCAACTGCACAGGTAGCCACAACGGCATGTCTCCGCCACACATCGCCTGCCGCGTCTGCGCAGTTGGCCAATTACCTCCCGTCATTAGGTGCACACAAGTTTTGCAGCGCCTCACATGCTCAAGGCAGTGCGTGAAATTGGCAGAGCAGGCCTCATTGAATGCTCTGCAAGTTCTATAACTTCTCCGACTGAACTTCACTTCTTTGATCAGCGGCATAAGCGCAAGAAAGATTGTAAGACGAAGACACGCAATCGTGCAATACTCTCTCTCACTTTTAGAGAGTCATTGAATATCTACCAACACGAAGTGCCGTGGTGAGTTCAAAGAGTCTTGTCCAGAGAAACACGTCGGGTATCTCTCTGACCCGGCTGTACTCTGTGTAGCCCGTCACCATGGCAACAGGACTGCCATCCGGTGATTGGTTGCCGTCGGCCGGCCGTGCCGCAGCGGAAGCCCTTACTGCGCGGCCTGGTGGCGCCAACCTCCAGGCCGCCGCGCCCTGCCGTCTGACGATCATTAACGGGTTCCGGGTACCCCCCCCCCCCCTCCCACCGCCGCCTGGGTCGGGTCAAATGGTGCCGCCGCCGCCGGGCGGTCTGCCGCGATCGGCCTCGGCCCAAGGGCGCAGCGAGACGGATGCCTGACACCGTCGCGGACCCGTGGACTGTGAACTAGTAACGCATCATAGCCCCGACACGTTGCGCTTGATAGTAATGCTACTTATTGGCAGGGGGGGGGGGGGACGTCGCAGCCATCGTCCAAGACCATTGGACGTCGCTCTCACAGCGATTGCCGTGGCGGCGATGGAACTCTGTGCCAGCAGCCGGGCTCGAACTCACGACACTACACATGCGGTCAGGGGCGAACGCTCTACCAGCCAGTCTGCGCCACCTCTCATGGTCTACCTCGGGTCGGTCATGTTCGTCTCATGACATCGGCGTTGTCGCCTGAAGTCCTGCCGTCTGCTCTATCGCAGTTTTCCCACTAATGAGTGGGCGCTAGGACGGTACTTTAAGCCTGATCCGAGCGAAGAAAATGCTGTTAACGTTGGCGTGTTATGCCGTTTTATGATCGGGTTCGCCAGACTGGGGGAAGATTTAGTCTGTTCACGAAGACTGTCGTCGCAGCCAAACTGTGACGATTTCAACATTTTCCCCTACATCGTTGGCGACAGAGATGTACTACTCGCTGCCACTGAATCGCCAAACAATTGCGTAATCGCTTGAAATATTTAAACCATGCCTGCATGCGGGCGATCGCTGCAGCTACTGTTGGCATACAGCTGTCGGTTGGTTGGATTATCTTGAACCTTCGTCACCTGTTCGGCTGTCTTTCCATCTGTGTGCTGCTGCATCAGCAGCAAACATACACGCCCCCATGTGTTTCCTTTCTAAATGATAACCGTAACCTTATGCACGGAGCGACGTCATGTTCCGCTCTGCGCTGTGGCTAATGTGGTCCTTGGAATCATTAGGAAGCCGTCACGCTCGTGCTGACGTCTCCCCCGTGTTTCCAGAACAGCACTTCAACAAGAAACCTCCACAAGGGCCAGTTCGGACTATCACGCTCCCAGTGACGTCATATGTCTTGTGTTGCCAGAACAGCGAATCCTACCAGATCCCGTTGACGGCTGTCCTGGCGGATCGGCCGTATGCTGTCAGTGATCCCATATGTTCTGCGTTGCCAGATCAGCGACTACAGCCAGATCCCGTGGACGGCTGTCCTGGCAGAGCAGCTGCGTGCTGTCAGTGATTCCATGAGTTCTGCGTTGCCAGATCAGCGACTACAGCCAGATCCCGTGGACGGCTGTCCTGACAGAGCGGCCGCGTGCTGTCAGTGATTCCATGAGTTCTGCGTTGCCAGATCAGCGACTACAGCCAGATCCCGTCGACGGCTATCCTGGCGGAGCGGCTGCGTGCTGTCAGTGATTCCATGAGTTCTGCGTTGCCAGATCAGCGACTACAGCCAGATCCCGTGGACGGCTGTCCTGACAGAGCGGCTGCGTGCTGTCAGTGATTCCATGAGTTCTGCGTTGCCAGATCAGCGACTACAGCCAGATCCCGTCGACGGCTGTTCTGGCAGAGCGGCTGCGTGCTGTCAGTGATTCCATGAGTTCTGCGTTGCCAGATCAGCGACTGCAGCCAGATCCCGTCGACGGCTATCCTGGCGGAGCGGCCGCGTGCTGTCAGTGATTCCATGAGTTCTGCGTTGCCAGATCAGCGACTACAGCCAGATCCCGTCGACGGCTATCCTGGCGGAGCGGCTGCGTGCTGTCAGTGATTCCATGAGTTCTGCGTTGCCAGATCAGCGACTACAGCCAGATCCCGTCGACGGCTATCCTGGCGGAGCGGCCGCGCGTCTGTCTGCAGGAGTCGGAGAGCGTGCCGGCCGACTACACCAAGCTGTTCGACACGCAGGTCTTCTCCATCAACACCCGTCTGGTGCCGCAGGTCGGTCGGCGCGGCCATCTCCCTTACTCGTGATGATGGCCCGCGTTCGTCTCGTTTTTTTTGTGCGGTTATGGCATTGGCAGACCTCCGCGGGCTGAATGGCTAAGAGAGGAGGCAGCGACTGTCTCGTGGGGTTATGTCGACGGCGGATGAAGTGTTGAGGTGAACTGTCACACGTCAGGTCAAGACCAGCGTCGAGGCAAACCTCTGCGGGCTGAATGGCTGAGAGAGGAGGCAGCGATTGTCTCGTGGGGTTATGTCGACGGCGGATGAAGTGTTGAGGTGAACTGTCACATGTCAGGTCAAGACCAGCGTCAAGGCAAACCTCTGCGGGCTGAATGGCTGGGAGAGGAGGCAGCGACTGTCTCGTGGGGTTATGTTGACGGCGGATGAAGTGTTGAGGTGAACTGTCACATGTCAGGTCAAGACCAGCGTCAAGGCAAACCTCTGCGGGCTGAATGGCTGGGAGAGGAGGCAGCGACTGTCTCGTGGGGTTATGTTGACGGCGGATGAAGTGTTGAGGTGAACTGTCACACGTCAGGTCAAGACCAGCGTCAAGGCAAACCTCTGCGGGCTGAATGGCTGGGAGAGGAGGCAGCGACTGTCTCGTGGGGTTATGTTGACGGCGGATGAAGTGTTGAGGTGAACTGTCACACGTCAGGTCAAGACCAGCGTCAAGGCAAACCTCTGCGGGCTGAATGGCTGAGAGAGGAGGCAGCGACTGTCTCGTGTGGTTATGTCGACGGCGGATGAAGTGTTGAGGTGAACTGTCACACGTCAGGCCAAGACCAGCGTCAAGGCAAACCTCTGCGGGCTGAGTGGCTGGGAGAGGAGGCAGCGACTGTCTCGTGGGCTTATGTTGACGGCGGATGAAGTGTTGAGGTGAACTGTCACACGTCAGGTCAAGACCAGCGTCAAGGCAAACCTCTGCGGGCTGAATGGCTGGGAGAGGAGGCAGCGACTGTCTCGTGGGGTTATGTCGACGGCGGATGAAGTGTTGAGGTGAACTGTCACACGTCAGGTCAAGACCAGCGTCAAGGCAAACCTCTGCGGGCTGAATGGCTGGGAGAGGAGGCAGCGACTGTCTCGTGGGGTTATGTCGACGGCGGATGAAGTGTTGAGGTGAACTGTCACACGTCAGGTCAAGACCAGTGTCAAGGCAAACCTCTGCGGGCTGAATGGCTGGGAGAGGAGGCAGCGACTGTCTCGTGGGCTTATGTTGACGGCGGATGAAGTGTTGAGGTGAACTGTCACACGTCAGGTCAAGACCAGTGTCAAGGCCCGCCCACACCTTGCGGATTGACTGCGGATTCTGCAGCCTGTTGTCGCACACTAGAGGTAGCGTTCTGAGCTTTTTTGGCCGCGCTTTACGGACCTTGCGGGCTTAAATATTGCATCTCTTGTCTTCAACAGCTGACGACTGCAGAACCTGCAGCGGATTTTGCAGCCAGTCTGCCGGGTATGAACTGGCTGTAACGCATTGTAAGATTAAGTGTTTTGCGTGTCACTAACAGCCACCTGCCACGTATGAGCGCTTGGGCACTCAGTGTCAGCTCCCTCCACTCTTGTCTTAACCAGTGGTCACCGTGGTTCTGGCCGCAGCCGCTTCACACGAATGCCCCTCACCCCTCCTCCGGTGATCATTTGCTGTAAAGGGATCGAGTTGTGCGCGACGCTGTGTTATAGGCCGGCCCAGCATCTCGGTGATGCGGCTCCCTCGTCGTCAGCCGGGTGTGCCAGGTGCTGTGTCAGATGCAGACAGTCGTACCACGGGGCTGGTTGGGACCCGCAGACGGGCGGGGCGGCCTTTGTGTCGTGCAGTTGGTCACGTAGCGCACGTGACGACGCTTTCCAGGCGTTGTTCTTTGCGATGCGTTCGTCACTCCAGGCAGGGCGATGCGCCGCTGCTGGCAGCGACCGAGTCGCGCTGGGAGCCGAGCGTGTACGTCATGTGACACCGGCTCCTCCTCGACAGGCGATCGAGTCGTACGAGAAGCTGGGCGTCAAGCACGAGCCGCTGAAGCTGATCACGCCGCAGTTCGAGACGCCGCTGCCGCCGCTGCAGCCCGCCGTGAGTGCCGACTCGGGGCGACGAGTCACGAGTCAGGGGTGGCCAGACTCGACTCAGGCGGCTTGCGGGCCGCTCCTCCTGAGCGCCAGCTGCCGTCGCTCGAGATCGGTTTCGCCGCGCTGGTGCGATTGGCTGGCGCCGCGGGACATTGCCAGGCCCGGCTTGTACGTGGTCTGTGTTTGTAATGCATTAAAAGCTGATGGGTCCACTTACGTCGGGGCTTCTATTGGCCCGTCATCATGCATGATGCATTTAGGGAAATTGGGCTGTGCTGGCAGTACGAAAAGGCTGGAATGCAGTGGCATGAAGGTATGACAATGGACATGGTCAGCGCGAGAGTGCATATTTGCGATGCTGGGCAAGCATAAGCTTGTCAGCCGCGCTGGCCGGACTTACCGCTGTGCAGCAATACAAATATGTGGTATTAAATGAGTCATGAAATATAGTTTGCATCAGCATTAAAAACTGGGGCAATCACACGGAGAACCGTACTTTTTCGGTCGTGTTCCGTCTACTGAAAACTCAGAGTCACGCCCTGAAACTGGAGTGTTTCTAGTCCAGGTCTCTTCAGTGTTGTAGGAGCCCAGAACGTCACCGACTTAGTGCAATACAGTTTCCCTTAACCGGCCTTGCAAAGTCGGAGTATGTCCGAAGACGTTATCTCCCGTGCATGACAGTCCAATCAATTGGAGTTCAACGGACGGCACAATTCACGTGCTTCCTGAAATGTAATCGTTTCCTATCCAGTCAGAAATCCATCAGATAGATGCGAATTAAATACATGTTTTTGCATGGCGAATCGCGGTGAGGATGACCATTGTCACAACTCATCAGGGCCGGGGTCCAGGATCTGGCCTAATGAGGCCAACATTTTGAATAACGTACCTCCGCCCCAAAACATTATTTCTGAGGAGAACATGCCGACTTTGTCACTGTTTTGAAGCCGGCTAGCGCGGTCTGTGCTCTGAGCCAGCCGTCGCAGTGCGATGTCTTCACGTGGGCCGACGCTGACGGGCCGGAGCTCTACCAATCTATCCATCTAAATCTATCCACGTACCTAAAACTATGATGAAGCCGGACCAGAAGTGTTATGCACATCCCTGCGTGCTGGGTAAGCGTTGCCTGCTCCTCACCTGCAGTACATGGCGGTTTGTATGTCGCTGGCGCACGACAGCTGAGGATGAAGCAGTAGCCCGTACCTTGCCTTCTGTCGGCCTCACGGACCGTGCGAGGACTACTGCTATCCTGATTCACGAAGGGCCGATCCTTCCCAACCTTGCTTGCTTCCCTCCTCGATGCTCCGGTACGATGGCTGTTGCAACACCACGAAAATCGGTGGGCAATATGGTGTTTTCTCAAGCCGTGCGACATGGGCTACTTGTTTGGTGTTTGCTGCGCCAGAAATTTTCCAGTTTTCCACCTGACCAATTCAGGCATTACGGCCACATGCTTGTCTGTAAGTATGTTGCTTTTATCGTGATAAGCTGGCATTGGTTTCACGGCTTGGGAAGGCTACAAGCATGATATTACGCAGCGTCTAGTTTTGTGAGCTTTCGGCTCTCGTGTTAAAGTAGTATACATTTGGTGACTGTGGCGTGCGGTTAGGCGCTGAAGGTGTATGGTTATTTAGCGACTGAGGCGCTGGCAAAATTACCCGCCCGGAAGCCATGATGCAGTTCAGTATATCTTTGCGCTTTCAAGCCGTCGTCCTCCAGGCATTGTAACCCATGCATTGTCGTTTGCGAGCTATGGGAATCCGTCGTGCTTGCTCACAGCTCCTGTTTGTGTGCCCCGCGTGTCGTGAGTCCTCTACTGTATTCCCTGGATCCCTGGCAGTGTCTGGTGTTTGGTGAATGACGTCAAGTGTCCATTGATTCCTCCCTTTTTCTGTTGCCTCCGTTGTAAGACGTCGGATGTTCCCACCGTCGTCCCGCGAGCTGTCGTGGTTTGACGTCACACCCTTTGCGTGACGTCAGATATTTCCACCGGCGTTCCGCGAGCTGCCGCACCCGCCGCTCGAGCTGTTTGACCTGGACGAGGCCTTCAGCAGCGAGAAGTCGCGGCTGGCGCAGGCCACCAACAAGTGCAACGACTCCGACCTGGAGTACTACGCCCGCGAGTGCGGTGACGTCATGGGTGCGTGGGCGAGGGGGAGGGGCGGGTGGCGGCCGCCGCCGCTGCCTCCACCGGTGGTCTGTGTGGAAATGAGTCGTGCTGCTCTTCCCAGACGTGTTTTGCCTCGCCATGGCGCCTGTGATCGGGAAGGCTTTTATAGGATTTGGCGGTGTGTTCATTCTGGTTTCCGAAACGTGATCCCTGACCGTTCGTTCGGGGAGCTGTTTTCTTCAGGAGTAGGCGATTGGGTGGCGAATTTTCTGACGATATACTTCAGATGGGTTAGGATCGGGGTGATCTTTGCTGTCCTCAGAACTGTGCCGAGGTCGTATGATCCCCAGCCTCTGTCGGCGAGTCTTTGCACCTCTTCTTTCCCCCTGCCTCCTCCCCCTCCCCGCATTGCCTCTGGCTTCCTCTCCGCACAGTTCGTGACCTCGTGCTGTTGTGTCCCATCGTCAGGAATCACCGTGAAGCTGCCGCCCGACTCGCGCAGCGCCAAGCACATCCTGGAGTACACTCTGTTCCAGCTGGTGGAGTTCAGGAAGCTGAACCAGGTGCGGTCCGGCCAGAGTCGGAGAGCACAGGGCCGAGTGTTGCGGACACGTGCAGCGCGTTGTTCTTACTGATTCGCGGCAACGTTTTGGAGAGCCACGCCTGTGTGTTGTAACTCACTGAGTCCCAACATGCGTTGGATGTCAGGTGACAATCTATTCTTTTGGAGTGGCTGTTGTGTCGGCCAGTTTGTAAAGACCGGCTTACGCCGAATACTCGCAACGGAACATTGACTGCACAGTGATATAGGGGGACAAGAAAGCATTACTCCATGATAAAAAGCAGTGAGACGGCACCATCCTTCGCCCGTGACGCTGACGTTGACCAGTTTGAGAGCGTTAGATGGTGCGCCCTCCTCTGACTGGAGACCTCGTTTCAGGAGTTCGACACCGGGTATTACGAGCAGCAGGAGGTTATGGAGTAGCCGGCAGTCCGGCGGCCGTTGGTGCGAGGGGCGGGGTCAGTCTGAATCCCCTCAGTCCGGCAGCTGATGGCGCGAGGGGCGGTGTCAGTCTGACGCCCCTCAGCCCGGCGGCCGTTGGTGCGAGGAGCGGGGTCAGTCTGAATCCCCTCGGCCCGGCGGCCGTTGGTGCGAGGGGCGGGGTCAGTCTGAATCCCCTCAGCCCGGCGGCCGTCGGTGCGAGGGGCGGGGTCAGTCTGACGCCCCTCAGCCCGGCGGCCGTCGGTGCGAGGGGCGGGGTCAGTCTGACGCCCCTCAGTCCGGTGGCCGTCGGTGCGAGAGGCGGGGTCAGTCTGATGCCCCTCAGTCCAGTGGCCGTCGGTGCGAGAGGCGGGGTCAGTCTGACGCCCCTCAGCCCGGCGGCCGTCGGTGCGAGGGGCGGGGTCAGTCTGACGCCCCTCAGTCCGGTGGCCGTCGGTGCGAGAGGCGGGGTCAGTCTGATGCCCCTCAGTCCAGTGGCCGTCGGTGCGAGAGGCGGGGTCAGTCTGACGCCCCTCAGCCCGGCGGCCGTCGGTGCGAGGGGCGGGGTCAGTCTGACGCCCCTCAGTCCGGCGGCCGTCGGCGCGAGGGGCGGGGTCAGCCTGACGCCCCTCCGCCCGTGCCGCCGACCAGCCGCTCGCTGTGCTGTGGGAAGCCGGGCTCGCCCTTCACTCGGAGCTGAGCTCGGTGCCGGCTGCCGGGGCGCCCAGCCGGACCTCGCCGGTACGGTGTGGGTCCCAGCCGCCCCTTCTGTTGCAACTCCCGACATGATCCTTGTCGATCCGAACCGTTTTTGGATTTCTCATGTCCCGCATTTGCCCCTCTGGGCTATTGCTCTCAGTTATGTCGGCTATATATCAGCTGTTTTGTCTAGATCTGACAGGATTCCGTCCTTGAACTCTTCCGGTCCTTTGAACTCCCAGACGTCAACGAGGTGTCCTTCATCCGGCCCTGGACCTCAGATGTCCCTGGTGCATCTGCGAGTGACGGACCTGCACATGGTGACCCTGCCACGCAGCTCGCGTGACGTCAGCGGGACCGGGATCCCTCAGACTGCTCCCCCGCTGCTCCGATGGTGCTTCGGCGGTTCCGAAGGCGCGGCGGGGTTTGCTAGCGCGGTTTGATTTTGTGGATTGGGGCTCAGTGCCAGATGACGGTAGACTTCCGCTGTGATATCCGTCGTATTAGTTTCGTTGTGGGATCGACCACGCCATATTCAGATGGGAGGATCGAATAGTCGGCAGAACTCGTGCACGACATCACGAATATGAAATGCGGGGTTTCGTGGAGTTCATTGTTGCGGGAGCTGTGGTCCTTGTGGACGTTCCCCTCGGCTCTCTCGCTGTGCTGATCGTGGTTTGTGACCTCGATAAGTCGCGCTGGCTTGTGTCACGTCACATCGCCGTCTGCACGCACCACGCACTCCTGACCTTGGCGTGTAGTATGTACCTAGTCGCTACGCCCGGTGGGGCTGGCGTTGGGTTGTGAACACCTGACAACTTTCTAGTCATATTGTGGAACATGCTTTTTGTCGTTGCTGTCATTTTGACATTTTATGAGTACCTTCTGCGTGAGTCATTGCGGGAAGATTCCTATTTAGCTTTTGTGGTGTGAAGCATATTGATGAGATTGCATTTCAAGTACTTGTTTGTCGTTATTTGAAATATTGACTCGGTTGTGAGCATGATCTCTCTGGCCAGTGTTTTATTTACAGCAGAATTGTCCGGGCCTCTTATGTCGCCGTTTGATACAAGTTTTGTGTAGGGCGCGGTTCTTTGAGTTACGTGTTATATCTATCACTGCGAGATCTATAATGTAAATGCAACGTCACCTTTTTGGTCACAGCCGGTGACCGTGACCGTAACCGCGTGGTCTCGCTCTTCACCGCTCGCCGCGCCGCTAGCCTGCGTGCGCTCGTGACGTTTCTGATCTCTGCCTCCGCGTAATACGTCAGGTCGCGCTCACCTGTCGCCGTCCACTGTGTGCACCGAACCCGTCCAGAGGAGCCAGTTTGTGGCGTGAAATTTGGCTTGCCTGGTTGGTTGTTCGGCCTGGGGCGGCGTGTCCGCGTCTTTGGTGCACGGTCGGCCGGGGTGTACTTCGTCATGTAGCCGGCACTGACGGGCGAAGTCTCTGCTTCTGGACGGAAGCTCGGAACTGTCGGGGCCGTTGCGCTAAATACACGGACTTGCACCACCGCCTGTATGCCGTCTTCCAACTGAGATGACTCATGCACATGAAACAGCCGGGACCGAAGTTCGCGAGTGGGGAGGCCGCCGCCCCCTGGCGCCGCTGCTGGTCAGCACACCAGGGGGACTTCAACAAATACCGCTCGTAAGCCGCCAAAAACCATCATGAGGTGGTTCTCCTCCGCTCGTTTTTTTTGCAGATAAGTCAACTTAGATGTGAGTTCCACAGCCGCCAAACGTGATGTAGCGGCAATGTTTGGTGGACCGCAAACGCTGTGGATACGGCTACGGTCCCACCAGAAATATACGAAAATAGGAGAAATCGCAAAGCCGGAAGGGTCAGGCTGTTCAAAATTCGACATGGTTTATTCTTTGAATCAACAACGCCACATTTGCGCGGGGCATCCATCACAACACACATTGGACTTCATCAACAAGTGGGTTCTTTCGCCAATCATACACTTCTCGGCGCTCGGGACGCACAGACATGCCTTAGCGTGCGCTCACCAGCACGCAAATCGTTTTCGCCGTTGGACAGTGACACAATCCAACACCCTCACATGCAGCACAGCATGGGTCTGGGGCGGACGAGCTCGAGGCACCAAACCACCGACCAACACCGACATCGTCCTCCCAGCTGTGTCCAGCCCACTCAGACAACACGCGAGCCACACACGGACAGCGTCCTCGACGACCGCCACGGCGTCGCCCGGACACCGACGCACGCGTCTAAAACACGCGTCCTTCGATGAGGGGCCGCAGAGATCTGCCAGCCCTGATGAACGGACGACCATCCATCGCAGGTCGCACGGAGACCCGGCTTTGGTTTGCGTATCACAGGCGCTACCCGCAGGGGACGCTGGGTGATTGGGTGGGAAAACTCTGACGGGTGACAACGCGGGGAATGAGAGGCGCGATGATTTTATCCGCACAGTGACGGGAAATAAAAAACTTAGACCCTCCAAAGGCAAAACGGTAATGCTGAACGTCGTACGTTAAATGACTGGGCTACAGGGAAACGATTATAAAAGACTAAATGCCTTAAGTTTCGTCAATCCACGAACTGACTCACTCCTAGTTTTGAGTCTACACATTTCACGCGTCACGGAATTTGCTCTTCCACGTGAAACAATATATCACCGAAAGGGCATCAGCTTCACTTCCGCGGCTCCCGCGGTCATTCGCTGAACTGCGAACTACGAACTGCGCTACATCCCGGAGCGTTGGGATGCAGTGCTCTGCTGCCACGTGATCCGTGATAATTCTCCACGCCATGACCTGACAATGACATCACCACCACGCCCCACACTTCGAGCCACCGGTCCTGCGAGCGTAACGAACACACAGCTCTGCAGTGTCCTAGCTTCCCGTGCGCTCCGAGACCAGCTTCTGGTCCTCATCCCACCGTTCTCGCATGCATGAAGACGCACCCCCCTGGTCCGTGCAGCTCACTGTGCGCTTCCGGGAACTCTGCCCCAGACCCTGTCGCTTTCGTACGTCTCGATCGGCAGCGGCCCCGGTCCCGCTGCTCGGGCGGCTCTGCGGCGGCGCGCCCCGCCTGCGCCTTGTCTCGGCCGCCAGCGACCGCCGCGCCGCTCACAGCATGCTGCGGAAGCTGGTCTGGCGGCGCGGCGGCATGGTCTGCCGGCTTCGCTGCTTGCTGCCCGTCTGGCGCCGCTGCGCCGCCGTCTGCTGCAGCTGAGACCTGTGACACCGGCACATAGTGTGACATCGGCACAGTGTGACACCGGCACAGTGCGACGTCAGCACAGCGTGACGTCGGCACAGTGTGACACCGGCACAGTGTGATGCCGGTAGTGTGACAACGGCACAACGGACGCGAACGTGATCAGTGATGTCCTGGTCGGTCGCGCCCGTCTGCTTCACGCTTCATGACATCCAAGGAGCGACTAACCGAAACAAGCTGTTCCGCTCTCATTCCGGGCCACAGTACCACGTCACGTCTATGTCTACGTATATGCGAGTAGGAGCCCATGGAAGGCGTACCATACTTAAAACAATCAGCAAAATCTCAAACTTTTTCTTCAATCACGCGCACAGCGCACACACCCCGACACCGGCCACACCGGTGTGGAGCGGTGCCCGCACGGAGCCGGGGAGGAGCCGGACGCCGCCGACGCGTCGGCGCCGCGCGACCCACCTGGAGGTGCGCAGCGAGCGGCCGCTGGCGCTGGAGCGGTCCTCGCCGCGCCACTTGTTCACCAGCTGCTCGCGCACGCGCTGCGCCGACGAGTGGGCCGGCAGCAGCGAGCCGCCGCTGCCGCCGCCGCTGCCGAACGTCGAGGCTGCAACAGGCCGGCCGCCGGCGGTCGGGGAGCGAAGCAGAGCAGATGGGACGGTAGGGGAGATCAGCAGATGAGGGGAATCTCCAGGGACAAAACGTGGTGACCACAAGGGGGAGTGATTAATGCCAACTGCCAGCAGACCGTGTCTTGGTCAGGGAAGGCGAGAGTTAGCAGGGATACAATTCACCCAGTGCGGGGTCTTGTCTGGCCACGCCACCAGGCAGTGGCGACAAATTTATCATCAGCGCACCGTGAAAAGATTGACGACACGGCCTTGAGGAGCCGTCTATCAGAACGGTCAGACGAGTCGTTGACACCACTACGCTGTCAGTCAACAACCGCATGGAGATGTCTATCATATCATGTGTCCTCGGCCGTTCGTAAGGAACGGCACTAAACATAGCCTTCCTAGTACAGTGTCCAAATAGCTGCATAAACTGCCAACAAGCCACTGCAAATGTCAAACTCTGCCTCAACAATGCAATCACATTTGCTGAAAATCGCGAGAAACGGGACAAATGCACCGTGTGAGCCTCCGGAGAAGATTCCTGGCCCAAGCGCGCCACGTTCTCAGAACCCGCCCCCACTCTTAAACCCTAGCCAACCGAGCCCGACATTTTCCAGGCACGCCGGCAGTCGCCGCCAGTCCGACTGCGGCCGCTCAGACCAGCCGCCCACTGACCGACGTCCGGTGCCGAGCGTGAGTTCCACGTGGACACGGAGCAGACGGAGCCGAAGCGCTCCTGCGGCTCAGCCGTGGCCGGGACGCGCGCCAGCGAGGCCACGTCAGCGGCGATCTCGTCAATCTCGCGCTCCAGCTCCCCGATGTCGGCGTCCACCGTGCCCGGCACCTGCGGCGGACGCGCACGGCGGGGTGAGCCGAGGCGAGGCGGCGGCGCCGGCGCTCTCGCGGCAATTGGGAATGGCGTTTAGGAGGGATCGCTACGTACTACGTGGGAAACGAGGCCGCGCACACTCAATGATAACACAAACTGGGATTGTTGTTCAAAAGGAAACTCAGTCTCTTGTAGCGAATCCAGGACAGCGTAGACTGATCTCATGATAACAAAAATGTTTCACAGTTCGATTCCATCTCCTGATAGACATGATTGACCCCGTGCCCTTGACTTGACTCCTCAACGTCCACGAACGTCAGAACAAGCTCGCCTAACAAGGCGCCAGGGGAATCTGGACAGGAGACACCAGCCGGACCACAGTGCCCCCGTCAGCACCCCACCCAGCCGCACCAGGCCTGCCCGGCTGCCGTACCATGCGGACGCGGCGCGTGCCGGCGGCGGGCCGGCGCGGCGAGCCGTCGCCCCGCGCCGGGCTCAGGTGCAGGCTGCTCCGGCGCGGGCTGCTGGGAGCGGCGGGCGGCCGTCGCAGCCGCGGCCGTCGCCGGAGCGGCCGGCGGCCGGGCTGGACTCCTGCGGCCAGGACTCCCGCGGCGCGGACTGCCCTGCGTCGGACTGCTGGCGCGTGCGGCGGCGGCCAGCGGCAGGCGGGCGCGGACCGCGGCCACGCGCGCGGCGGCGCGGGCGGCAGCGGCGCGCGCGCGCCCGTCCCGGCGGCGGGGTGGTGCGGCGGCGCGGCGGGCTGACGGGCGGCACGGTGGCGCGCGTGGGGCTGGAGCGCGCCGCGGGCCGGGCGCGCGGCAGCGTAGCACGTGACGAGGCGCCGCTGGAGGGCGCCGTGTCGGCCGACGGGCTGCCGTAGGTGGAGCTGGAGCGGGCCGTGACCAGAGGAGGCGAGCCGCGCCCGGGCGGACGGCCCGGCCGACCTCGCCGCGGCGGCGACGCGGCCGCAGACCTGGAGGGGAACCGAGCTGCACGTCAGGGCCACAGTGGAGAGGCGTACCGGCGACCGGGCACCCGCGAACACGCCCCAGACGTATCCCTATTAACCGTTTGGGTGATAGCGGAATAACAGCAGTGTTGCTTTGTGCAGTCCGTGTCGGCGTGAAGCGCAGACACTTGTTCAAACGAAGCACACTCAAGCATTTCGCACAACCCAGCCGGCAGCCACCGGCCGTGACGCAGCCGTGCCAACACGATCTGCGGCCCTGCACGGCGTCACTGGCCGCCGGACTGACCGGGCGCCGGGCGGGCTAAGGCAGGGCCGCTGGCGCCGGGCACAGCTGGGCGCGCTGGAGCTGCTGCGCGCGGTGGGCGGGCGGCTCCTCCTCCGAGGACGGCGCGCCGGCCCGCTCCTCCTGGTGCAGCTGCGACGAGATGGCGTCCGACTCCCGCTTCTGCTCACATACAACACGACCACGTCTAGAGCGGGGCGAGGCCATTTAGAGAAGAGGACTCGGCAGCTGGCCGGAATATTATGGTGATCGTGCATGTCTACCGCTACTGGGAGCCATACAGGATGATGCTTGTACGATGCACTCTAACGGGCATTCGAAGCGAAATATCGACACGCCAGCTTGATCCAATGGAGCATGATGTTGATGCGAAATTCTGGGTACTTTGTACAATTTACGGCGATGTATCTGACGCAATACCATTTTCAGGCACACTACACACTTTGTGCTTAATTCGTCACTGACAACGCACGCTCAGATTAACGTATCACAGCATGTCCCGTGTCCCCCCCCCCCCCAACCCGTCCCGTGACGAACCGTTACGGATCCCTTCCCCTCGCCCCAGCTCGGCGCCGTGACGTACCCGCTTCTTGATCTTCATCCTGCAGCCGACCAATGAGCAGCTCCTTCTCGGTGGTCTGGCGCAGCAGCGACCGCGAGCGCTCCGAGTCACGCTCGGCCCGGCCGCGCTGGCGCAGCGCCTGCTTGCAGCCACCGCCAGACGCTGCCGCTGCGCCGCCAGCTTGCTCTCCGACATGCGCAGCATCTCGCTGGTGCGCCGTCTCCGCCTCTGCAGGGGCTGGCGGGGGGGGGGGGGGGGGGGGGGGGGGGGGGTGGGTGGGGAGAGTGTGAGGCACGGGGTCGTGGTGCATTACAACCGCCTCTGAGTCTCCGCCTTAGAACAATGTTGTATCAGAGCTTCAATTGTGAACTTGTATACGCATATATAGCGTCTCGACATCGTGCCATTCTCCTCGTTTGAGAATTTTATAGAACTTCATGAAAAATTAAGGGATTAATATTTTCAGTTTTTGACCTTTGCATGAGCGACTTGACCCCGGCCAGTGTAAGCCGCGACAAGCCGGCAGGTCCGTACCTTTGAGGTAGGCCAGTTTGTCGGCCCACTGTTTTTGCCGGGGAGCGGTTGTCAGCCATCTCCTGCGCTAGCCTGGCGGTGGCACCCCGCTCCTCCAGGAAGGCCTGGTGCTCGCGCCCGATCCGCTCCCGCTCCTCCAGCTGCCGGCGACAGCGGTTAGGGTCGGCCGTCAGGTCAGCCGTCAGGTCATGGATCAGGTCAAGTCACGCCCAGGGGTCAGCAGTAGTCGAGGTCAGCGCGCAAATCAGGGATCAGCTCAGGTCAGGTCAGGGTGCGGATCGGGGTTAGGTCAGGGGTTAGGCCGGCAGTGGGAGCCGCCAACAGCCGAGGGTCCGGGCAGACTGGCGGTCAGATGTCCGGCTTAAAGGTTCAGGACAGGGGCCAAGTCAGGTCAGGGTGCGGACCGGGTTAGGTCAGGGGTTAGACCGGCGGTGGGAGCTGCCAACAGTCGAGGGTCTGGGCAGGTTGGCGGTCAGGTGTCCGGCTAAAGGTTAGGACAGGGGTCAGGTCAGACATCGGATCGTTGCCGGGTCAAGGGTCGCACCGCGTTTGGTCAGGACTGGGATGAGGGTTCAGGTCAAAGATCGGTGTGTGAGGTCAGGGTCCGGTCCGACTCAGCTTGGGGTCGGAGTCACATCCAACGCCCCCGCTATCGCACAACACAGAGCCCCGCCCCTTCACTTTGTCTTCGGAGGTGACGCATGATCGGCTGCCACGACTGAACGCAACCGGTCCCCGGATGGCAACGGAGTCCTCTTAAAGGGCGACAACACGTTATACTATTCAGGCCTGGGCACGGACCTACAACGTTTCCGTCCTGTTTGAATGCAACGCTAAGAAACAAAATTGTAATCGTTGGCGTATGCCAACTCACTTACGCCAGCAGTTTGGGGGGGGGGGGGCACTTAATAACAGCTCACCAGCCCGAGCAAACAGCACATTGTTTTGCGGTCCACGTCATCACGGCCTGGACGTGACTTCAAGCTACTTGATATACTTTAACAGCAACTGCTGTGCAGCCAGCCTCACCTGGTGGTTGACGATGAAGGTCGGGGTACTTGTGAAGACGGGGTAGGCCTCGGCGCCGATGGCCTCGAATTTCTCCATGAAGCCGCGCGGGTGGATGTCAGCCGGCGTCGACTCGTGGATGACGTAGGCGCGCCGTACCACGTGCCGCAACGCTCACCACGTTCTGGTGTCGGAAGTAGTACTGGCGGCGCGAGGGTGCCGCAGTGCTCAGTCTACTGCCCACGCACAAAATGTCCCCGAGATTGATAATCAGTCGCCACGGCAGCCATCCACTGAGACAATGGCACTCGGATGGTGATCCACGGGCCGCCAGCGTCCCATTTGGGATGTGGTTCGCAATATCGCATTCCCCGAAGTCACACCTGTTCGGGCTTGCACTAACAATTGCACACCGAGGGTGTAAGATCATCACGAGCGAGCCCGGCCCCTTACCAGCGTCGACTCATCACCAGGACGCGCCTGACGTGCTTACGCTGATGTCGTCGGCCGTCTTGCAGCGCAGCAGAGCCGCTTGCGAGACGGCGTTGTAGGAGATGACGACGGCCCATGTAGGACGGGTCGTTGGTCAGGATGTGGTCCCAGGCCACCAGCCAGTCGTTCTGGGTGAACACCTGACGACGAGCACATCTTGTTAGGACCAGATCAATACGGCACTGCACAAAAAAGCCTGTCCACTTCTTCCTGATCATCCACATTCACGATACTTGTTCGGAATTTACGTAGAAAATAAAGTCCTTCCCAAAAGTTTCCGTAAACAAAACGAAAAAAACACAAAACACACGCGCATATGTATCGTAGTGAGCAGAGGAGCAATTCCTTTATGTCACTTTACTATGAGTCTGCGGGGTAGGCAACAGAAACGTCACATTACACTGTTACATGCAATCACAACAAGAATGTGATCGACGCATAATTTCAACATCACGACAAGCTCGGCGAAGGCTTCAATGGGGCCGCCACGATAGTGGTGTGTGGACCCTGCATCGTCCCACGACAGACGCTGAGAAGACCCCGCCTGATTCACGGCCGCGGCCACACCCGACAGCGCCGTCCCCGACCCGCTCCGCCGCGGTCACCTCGGAGAAGGCGGTCTCGAGCAGGGGCCAGCCGTACACGTGCGCGGTGACGCCCAGCTCCATGTAGTGTCGCAGCAGCTCGGGGCAGTGGTGCGCCAGCATGTTCTCCACCATGCCCAGCACCGAGATGGGCGGGTACGGGAAGAACTCGAACCACCGCTGGCACCAGTTTACTGTGGCGAGTACGCGAAACACGCACGGCGGTCGTGATACGGAGCGACCCGGAGACCAGCGGCCACATTCGTAGTGGGGGAACTATGGTTATCACGTAAGGACGTGATTGCCTGCAGTGTAATGCGTGGGTACGTAGGTGGCGGCGGCAGCACGGAGGCAATCTTGCTCATGCCGCCCGCAACCGTGGGCGCTTAAAACTGCCGTGCCGTGACCCGGATTCGAACCGGGGTTATCGCGGCCACAACGCGAGGTCCTGACCACTAGACTATCACGGCGGTGACCACACAAAATGACATCGATGAACTGACAAAGGCTTTAAATAAACGTTGTCACGCAGCCTGTACACGAACAAACGCTACATTTAGTCACTGTTTGGACCTACACGAGAAAAGCCCTTTTAAACGATTACATGAGAAGCTCTTTTCCAAACAGTTCTCGCTTGCTTCGACACGATGTGCGTCGATGCCTGGCGTATGAGAACAAGGAGCAGACCTAACAGGCATTCCCTCCCAGGTGGTCAGCTACAGCACGCCCCTAGCTGCCCCCCAGCCTGCGCGTGCCTCTCACCGAGCAGCGTGATGACCGTCTCGAGGGCGGCCAGCGGGTCGGCCGAGAACACGCTACAGAAGGGGAACACGAAGTAGGGGAGGAACTCGACCTCGGCGAACAGGGGGCACCACCAGGCCAGCGCCGAGAGTGTGCTGCAGTCAGAGGGCCCGGCGGCGTCAGGCGGGCTCGCCGGTCGGCGCGACGCGGCGTAAACCGATTCGGCGAA